ATAGTTGAATTTCCTCCATGTCGGGTAATGAATGTTGTCATATGGTTGAATTTCCTCCATGTCGGGTAATGAATGTTGTCATATAGTTGAATTTCCTCCATGTCGGCTAATGAATGTTGTCATATGGTTGAATTTCCTCCATGTCGGGTAATGAATGTTGTCATATAGTTGAATTTCCTCCATGTCGGGTAATGAATGTTGTCATATAGTTGAAATTTATTTACCGTAATAAAAGTTGAAATAAATATTTCAGTTTTGTATGCGTCACTTGACAAGTTCGTGAAAAGAAAAATCATATTTCAGATTGAGATAGACTTAAATATAAAGTATAGCACTCTATTTTTTTTCTTGTGTAGCTTAAACATGGTTTTCACCTTAAAACCATAAATATATATATTTTTTTGCTTTTTATCAATGGTAAGGTTGCAGCTGCTATGACAAAGCTATATATATAAATGACACTTGCCATAACTGTCATTCAAAAACGGTTTAGTAAAAAATAGATGTTTTAGGCGTTATTTCTGGATATACGCTTCCACGGAAATATTGAAAAAAATGGAAGTTATAGAGACCACATATCGGAAACTTCTAGCTTTATATAACGATTCACGCAAAAATGTAACATTTCCTTAAGATAAAACAAGAGGGAATCCTCAATAGCCGCGGCTCTTGAAATTCTTGTGGGAAGGATTAGGGTATATTAATACTGGAGACCTTTTTTTTTTCCTTTTTTTAAGCTATATGTTTGTGCGCCATCAATAAACCAAGCGTGGAGCGCGCGTATATCCGATTCGATTTTATTACTCACCAGACGGACAGGTTTAGGTTCGACAGAAATCTGGTGATTGTTTCGGATATACTTGTATCATCCAAACAGTGATATGTGGTGGAGATAGTGTCTTTTTTTGGCCTGCTTTAGTGAGTTTGGAGTTAATCCACTGATAATATTTCATGAAGCCAAGAAGATATTGTTCAATTGTTACATCCTTGACAACAGTGTACTATTTCTCAATACGAGAAGTTCTAACTATTTTGCAAATATATATACATATGTGTAAGCTTGCCTGTGTTCTGTATGCCGAATATGATAATACTTCCACTAGTTATAACTAACTATCAATTTTCGAAGTAAGTTTTAAAATTATTCTAATTAAGTTATCAATCGAAGATAAAACACAAGCGTATATATCTTTCACCTTCAAATTGCCAACTTGTTAGCATACTAAGTAATAATAATGAAAAGAGCCGGAACAATAAAACCAAGTATAAATTCAAAACCATACCAGATGTCACTGATTTTAAATGTACTCGGTGGGAATCACATAGTGAGTGATTATATCTTCTTACTTGTCAAAGTGCTCAATCTAAGGAACTGACCAAAAATATTGGGTGAAATCGCTCATTTGCTATGTAAAATACATAGGAACCACCAACAGTAACTAGTGTGATTATAGAGATGAATTATTTGTTTATACTATATGCAAAGAGAAAAATGTATCACTTTTAGGAAGGGTTTGCAACAGCCCTTTCTGACGCAAGAAAAGTTATATACTTAGATAATAAATATTTACTTAGATCGGAGATTGATAACTTCTAGAACGAGATATTTCTTGTATTTAACTCTACTGGTACGAAAAAGAATATGAATCACTTTAGGGTGCCAGGACGATACAGAAAGAGACATGCAGCGAGTCATACATCAGCAGATATCAGAGTCAGTAGCAAAAACTGCCCATGTGTCCCAGGCAACAGTAACCAACATAATAAAGAAGGATCTATGTCTGGAAAAGCGACGTATGTACAGAAGCTACTTAAACCGCATATTTGTTCATATTTTGCATACCCAAAGCAACTGAAGAATTAAATGTGTATTCTTGCCATCCCATTCAAGTCGCTGGACGCAACGCCGGTGGAATTTTGTGTGATTTTTCTGTTGAAACGAATGATGGGAAACCATCGTTCTCGCACTCTAGATGATTTATAGAAAGTCTTCAAGGAGACGTGTTGCTCTTCAGACATGACAGCGTTACGATGGACCATTTTGCAATGAAAAATACGCTACAGGACTATTGTAAAAATTAATCGTCGTGAGATAGAGCGTGACCGAATGTGGCGACAAAGACTGTAATGACGTGATGAGGTTACAAAATTATTTTAATGTAAAGCACTCAACATATATATTTGATGTATGTCACAAGTTTGACATTTAAATTTTGAAGTAATTTAAAAGTATTTCTTTAAATCAGTTGTAGGTATTAGACGACATGTGGAAAGTATGTCAGTAGATACAACAAGTTCAATAAACTATGAAAAATTTAGAAAATGGCTATTAAAAAATCAGAAGTAAACAAATATGGTTTAAAAGTCTAACGGATGATGACAGTATTATTATTTTCTATTTATTTGTCTATAACTTACACATCTAAGTGGTTTTATTAAGACTTTCTCGAAGATATAAACGACAAAGGTATAAAACCTAGGATTAATATATGTAAAAAGTTTTACTTTTGAGAAATATTAGATATATTGTTTAGAAATCGACATTGATATTAATGAAGTAAATTTTATCTTTCAAAACGTTTATTATACTGATATTATACTGCAACTGCCATTTTGTAAGTGATTGTTACACAAATCAACATTAACACTTAATAATCTTTGTTGCCTTGTTGTGGATTTTTAAATCAATAAACGTTTCAGCTTTTCACTTTCTGTCAATACTAAGTTATAAAGCTTCTGGTATTTATTTCACAGAAAAACAAAAAATTCAGTACATACCAGTTCTTTTTACAGGGGAAGATAATGTACTGGCTGTTAATGTAATCGCATTACTTTTCCCTTTAGAATTCGATGCATATAAAGCAAGAATGAAAGACGTCCCTAATGGTAAATCATTTGCTACAAACACGGGTCTATCAGTTTTGGTAATATTCTTTTGTATCCGTTCTAGTGCCATGTTGAAGACTTCCAAATGGAATGTCTGCTTTAATCCACCGTCGTATCCAGGATCACATGTTACCTTAATGACTGTTGTTGATCTATCGATCAGTACACAATTCCCTAAAGCGTCAGGAGGGCCTCAATGAAAAAGAAAAAATCAAAATATAATCCCACTGAACAATATGGAATTTCCTTGTAATATTACATAACTTACATTAATATTTATAAAACTAATGGCCTTTATTTTAATTTCGTTAAACCATGATTTTCAATACATAAATAACTTACAATAAACTGAAGTAATTACAATCAGAAAACATAATATATCTATTATTAGCGACTTGTTAATTAATTGTTTTATGTTATTATAAATTCGTATGTTCATTTGTTGTTGCGAAAGAAAAAAATGTTACCTTATTCTTTCACATTTGTTTTATTAATAAATATTAATTTGCCCACCAGTGACACAGCGGCATGTCTGCGGACTTACATCGCTAGAAACCGGGTTTCGATACCCGTGGTTGGCAAAGCATAGATAGCCCAATGTACTGTATATCTTTGTGCTTAAGCTACAAATATAAATTTATTTGGTTACTAATTCATAGATTACGAAATGTTTAAACTAATTATACTTTTTTATGTTACCAAAACTATTTAGAACTGTTAAAATATTAGGCCACATAGCAAAATTCTAAATAAATAAGTCCAGAAATATTTTAATAAATTACAAAATATGTTTCGTAAACGCCAATCTTACAAGATAAGATACTGAGAGATGTGTAATTGTCACTTATTTTTAGTTAGTATATTTTATTAACTTTAATATTAACTATTTGTACAATATTATGATAGATTCCATGAACTTAAGGTACCTGCTGGTATAAGAGTGAAGATACATGGTTCTTTTTGGATACCAAGATCATTACTAGCCAAACAGTACAATAAACTGTAACCGGTCAGTTTGTCATGTTTGTAGATTATTTCAGAGTGAGTTCCATTCGATTTAAAGGAGTTTATTTCGATCAAATCCAAAGAGTTGTTGAGGAACCATTTGAATGAAACATTGGAAGGAGTAGCTTCAACTTCACATTCAACTATAATTGATTCATTTGGTGCCACCCTGTACACTGTCTTCTGACCCCTTTTGCACAAAGGGATGTCTGTTAAATGAAAGACAGTATATATAGTTAATGTGCAAAAATTATATAAGTTATTAACTTTCATGTACTTAACATAATAATGCGATTATTTATAAATAATATTTTTTCCATTTATTTACCTGCTAAGCAAAAGTTTCGTATTCGCACAACAGCATTACATAAAATCAGCTTCTAACGTATATCGTTACATGAAATCTATATTTCAACTAACTGTTTGTTACCTATTACATTTACTTTCATTCTACCCATTTCAATTGCACAAAATAAACTCAAATGTAATCCAGTATCAAGGAAAAACTATCGTAATGTCAATGTGTGTACTGACATCAACGTATGATTTCACAACAAAGAAGTTTTGTTTTGCTTTTGTCCTTATTCATATTTATGATAATTAAAATATATATCTATGATATCTTAAGACTTACGATTTATAGCTAAAAATACTTCTTGGCTCATTCCTTGACCTTTCATATTAATTCCCACACATCGATATCTACCACTTTGATCACTTGTTACCGTCTTCAGTACTAGGGACTGGTTCTTGATAATTATATTTTCTTCCGGATTACCAAGAAGAGGATTTCTATTAAACTGCCATCCAATTTCTGTAATCCAAGGATTGGCTTTTATATTGCACTCAAAGTAAACATCATCATCTTCTTTGACAAAATCGTTTTGTGCATTTGTTTTAAGTGCAAGTGAAAGGATTGGTAAATCTGAAATAAATCCCAGACACTATATAAATTATGTTTGGTTAAAAAAAAGATGTATTAAAATGTAAAACAAGGAAATGATTTTAACTAGTAATAAATAATTATTTTTTTTTGCTCTTTAGCGTTTTTGCTCTTTTATAATGCAATATACTTTATTAAGTTCACATTTAAGGAAGTCTAATTGTATCTTTGTAATATGATATCTTTTGTGAAATGGCATCATCCTATTTTATCCAGATACAACTGGTAAAGATAAGTATTCAATAAAACTAATTTAATGATTTTGGTTCATGCTTTTAAAATATACTTTATATTCATATTTGAAGACGATAAATACAAACCTTTCTACATTACATAGTTAGCCAATATTAACCATTTACTCAGTAGTTTCTCATTACATATTTTTACTGCGGTCTTACAACTTATTATTAATCCGAATCTGTATGAAACTTCGTAAAAACAAACATGTAAGCTGAATAATAGTTAACAACTCACTTTTAAAAATGATACAGAAAAATGCAAAAGGTATGTAAAGATTTAGTTTTCTGTTTTATTCTTTGTTAACAGATACTTCAGACAAATTGAGAAAAGTAGAAACTACGTCCTCATAATTTTTTTCCAAACTAAAATTATGTTATATTTCTGAATATAACAATTTTTGTGTGCTTTCTTTAGCTAGTATTAGAAATGTAAGATATTATTAAAAACAGCGATAACCCTACGATACCCATGAAGCAGATCAAGCAAATATTTTTAACGTGTATTTCCATGAAAGTTGAGTTACTTATTAACATATCATCTGAATTTACTGATTTGTTACATTTTATTAATTTTTATCAGTTACTAAAACTTATTGTGTGCGTACTTATTCAATCTGTAGGCACTAGTTAAATATCATAGTTTTGTTTAAATTCTTCGCGCCTGGATTTATTCAAGTTTTGGCTAAAAGCTAAAAGCCATTATTTTGTTTACTTTTTGTACAACTATGTTAATGTAACACATGTCCAAAAGTTAAGAATCAATGCTTTCTTTAAATAAGTTTAGTACGTCTATAGATGACTACAAGTTAAGAATCGGTGGTTTATTCGACTTTAGTGTATTGATTTTAAATTAGATGACGAGGAACCCACTTTGAGACTAATAATGGTTGGAGACGGCTTGAATGGGTAATGAAGAGAAAAAAAAATTATGACGACAAAACCTTGTCGAAACGTTGTACATTTGCTGTTATGTTAAACT